GGTGGTACCTGATGATGACAAAGCCTTATCGAAACGTTGTACATTTGCTGTTATGTTAAACTTATATTAAAGTTTTTCTTCATTACCCATTCAAGCCGTCTCCAGCCATTATTAGTCTCAAAGTGGGTTCCTCGTCATTGAAAGTAGTGAGTTTTGTTGTATTTAAAATCTGAATAAACTTAAAGTAACTATATGTTGTGGAGTCCAAAGCAGGGTACCTAACTCAGTTTGAATGTTAATATATGAAAATAAAGTATATTATACGAGAACAGGGCAAATCTTATGTGCCGTCATAATACGGTAGTGCTTACCGGTATCAATATGATAATGTGGAACATTTAAGTTCATTATCTCCCAAAGTGGGTCATTTCAGCGTCCCCTAAAGTTTCTGAGTGACCGGCAGTTCGAAAACGGGCCTGCCCCGCTGAAATCGGGAAGTCTGGTCACATTACCAAACTCTCTAATATGAGGCATCTTACGGTTACCGTTTAACAACCTGTTACTTTCACATGGCACATCTAATAAGTTTGAATTCTTTAAGCGATATTAAGCATTTCTGTGACTTGTCAAATGAAAATGCGAAAATTTTAAGTATGTCACCAGTTGCATTATTTTTAGCTGTACAAATCTGTTTCGCTTTCACAGTCATTCGTGAGAATATTTTAAATTATTTTGGCGTATAACCAACAGCTTTTGTAAGCAACTCAGTTTCATCTGGACTCTTTGACCCCCAATGGCACAGAGGTATGTCTGCGGACTTACAACGCTAGAAACCAGGTTTCAATACCCATGGTGGGCAGAGCACAGGTAGCTCATTTTGTAGCTTTGTGCTCAACTTCAAACAAACAATCATCTGAACTCAAATTGATTCGTACAATTTTATGCCTAAGCAAACGTATATTATCACTAACATTGTGCATAAATTATAATGACGCTTATCCCTGAAGAATAGCACCTCTGATTTTGTGTTTGTTTTGAATCCTAGGAAGACCTTCTTAATGAGGTTGGGGTACTTGTTTACATTTTGGTTTGGACCGCCTTTTGGTTTTTTTTTACTTATTTTATCAACTTATCATTTGTAGTTTCAAATGCAAAAGCATTGAGAGCCCACAAATTCTGCAAAGACAGTTTCTGTGCTGAAAGTTAACAACAAATATTTTTTAGAAGAACGAGATTTGGGTTGAAGGATATGAGAGCCTTGTGTCCAGTAACATATTCACATACATTTATTTATTTTGTGCAAAGGATCAGCTAACATATTAACCAATGCTCTTAAATAATATCACTAGTGAAGTATTGTAGGATGGTTTTGGTATTATTTCAAGGTCAAACATGGAGCTGAGCAATTTAATCAATTAACTATTAGCAATGATTATGTCAATTAATGTCATGTTAATATTTGATTAAGTAAAGTTATTGTTTAACTTCAGTTTTCAATTATTCTTACAAGCAGTTACTCAAACTTTTGGGTATCCAATTATTTCAACAGTTGATTAATTGAAAGTATGATTAAATGATTGTCATGAAAATGATTATTTTATCTTATTAGGAGTTTCAATTATTCCAACTATTCGAGTGATAGAAATATTCTTATGTTTCTTTGTTTTTAAGTACAAAGTTACCAATGGGCTATCAGTCAACTTTTATGTTATTCTTTTTGCTTTTTGGACTAGAGGGAATGCAAATAGTTGACAACATATGATGCCAACTTTGTTTTTCTTGTATATATATTACGGTTTGATATACAATGTGCTGATTGATTTATCAAATGTAATCAATTGAATGGGATTCAGGTAATTGACTAGCAAATACAACTAATTGCTCAGTTTAGACAATTACAGTATCATAGTTCACAATAGTTTTGATTCCATGTCTCAAGTCTTTCCATGTAACCAAAAATCTAGGTAATTCTAGAATCAATCTGCCCATTGATAATCTCAGCTTCCAATGTGAACTTTCAAGAACTATCTTCGTAGCATTCTTCAATAAAATTTTAGAGTTTTTATCATGTGTCCTAAATTAATGCGATTATTTACCTTTTATTTATATGGTGATTCATATTTTATAATAACAACAGTGTTTGATACTTGACACTGCAGAGAATACTCCGATTAGGTATAGATGCTATTGGTCAATAGTATAAATCAGGGATCAGCAACCCTTCAAAGAAGAAGAGCCATTCATCTGTTTTTGTCTAAGGCCAAAATATTTTGAGAGTCGCAATATCACCTAATGTTCTAATGGTCTAACCAATGAGTCACAGATTTTCAATGCTAAAATCAGAAGTTTGATTCCCCTTGGCAAGTGTTGAGATTACATTTTTACCAACCAATGTGCCTGAAAGATTTTCAACTTTTTTACACAGTAAGAATAAAGCCCGAGAGCTACACAAATCTCCTTATAGGGCTGCATGCAACTTGGGAGCTGCAGGTTGCCGACCCCTGGTCCAAATGAACATTTGCATGTAGTATTATCCAGCTATACATAATCATGTTTGGATACACAGTAAAGTTGATTATTAGTATGGATTCCAACCGAAATAACTTTTATACATTTCACATTAGAGCTATTTCATGTGTGATAAAAAAGATGATTGTGTTAAATGTGGTATGATAGAATATGTTCCAAAATGAGCTATTTTGGCATGCTCAGATATTAAGCTCAGTCTATATTTGTTGTGGACTTATGTTTCAGATATCTGACTTATAGGTGCCCTTCACACATTTTTGCTTTTAGTGCTTTTGGACATACTATTTCAGTGTAGTTTCTAAACAGCGAATATTAAGAAACAAAAATACAAGATGTGAAACTTGTAGATCAGTGTTCTTAAAAATGTGTTATATTATGAATATATATATACACACACACACACATGCATAATAAACTTATTTTTGAATTAAGGTGATGTTAAAGATGTACACATGGGTTACTATAATATCTATCTTTATCTACTAAAATCACAAACACTTTTTATCTTAAAATTATTAAAGACAGTTTCTAAGTAATATAAATGTAACTTTGAAATAAAAAAAAATTATATATATATAACATTCTATTTTAACCTTAAGATGTTGGTACAAAAAATGTTATGCTGAAATATACCATCTGTTTTAGTAACACGGGTATTTAATAATTAAATCATTCACACATTGTGGTCAATAAAAAAAAAATCTTCAATTTGAAAAGCAGGACTTCTGAAGGAAGAAAGCACAAGAAAATTTGTAGTGTCATTAATTTAAAAATTAGGGAAGTAATAATGTAATTCTGGAAGTGATATATTTTATAATAAAATACTGTCAAATGTAGTGGAATTTTTAAAGAATAATAGTAATTTCACTCATCACATTTTTTTTTTTTTTCAAGATATATGGTGCAAAAAATATTTTTATAATTTATTCTTCCTCAAGTTCTCTTTAACTTCCCATTCCACTTTTCTCAGGCTTTGTTTATCAGATATAATTATCTTGCAGTGAAATAATATAAATATCATTTCTTTAGAATAGTTTACGTATATTTTTATGAAGATTGTTTTTGTGTATTTATGTTGGCAACAGCATAAACAATGATGAACTAGCTCTACTCACACTAAACTTTGGATTTTTGCAACACGTACACACACACAGTTGTTAAAATCGTAAATCAGTCAGAACTGTCTTGAAAATTCCATTTATAATCGAAGACTGAAATTCATTATAATTTTATAAAAGCATATTTTTGTTTTATTTAATCTTACTCTATGTGTTTTGTCATTGAGAGTATATGGTTATTTTTTTATTTGGTTACGTATACCTCATTAGATTTGAGTACATTATATCATTGTGTACATTTTATAGTATTCTGTGGAATTTGATGATTATAAATGTGTTTTCAAATTTCTTAAAAACTGTTTTGTTTTTTTTAAAAGAAAAAGTTTGGTAACTAATGTGTGCTATATAGAAATAAAAATGTATATTATTTGAAACAGAGCATTTAAAGAAGGTGGAATTACTCCAAGTAGAGAACAACCATACATGGTAAGTTAATTTTTGTTCATCAAAAAACAAACAAAAGGTACCAAGTTTATGAGATTATTTTTTATCTTTCAGTTACTGAAGTTACCTATTATTTTTATCTAATAATTATTTAAGTATTTATCTTTCTCTTTGAAGATAAACACTTATAAATTCAACAAAATATTATTTGTGAGTATCTTGAAAAGATAACTGAAATATTGTGAGCTCGTACAATTATGTATCATGATCTGTTGTAAGGGAAAAGTTAAGCCTGGAGATATTGTTGAAACCAACAGAGAGTAAGGCAGATAGAATCACTTAACTATACTTCATCAGTGTATACAAGGTTTATTTTTATTGTCATCTTTACTTCAAAATAATGCTTAAGTGTTAAAGTAGGGTTACATGTAATTTTTGACATTCCTTGAATTGGTGACTATTTAAAAAATTAACATGCAAATGGAAGAAAACATTTATGCATATACACTTACAGTTTTATAAAGCTCTTTTTGTTCATTGTTGTTATTTTTGTTGAATCAGTAAGTTTGTATAAAAGTATATTGTCTGTCTGTGTATTAGTTGGGCAATATAACAAACATACTGAAGACTTGGCTGAAAGCGAAGGTTGTTGTCAAATGTCAAACTGCAAAGGTAAGTTGACACAAAAGGTAGTAACACAAAAATTGCTTGGGCTGTTATGTCAGAATGTGTAATTTCAGCTAAAACTAATATCTTAAACATTGCAATTAACCCAAAAGTTATCTATGAAGTCCATCTGGACCTCAGCAGTTTTTTAAACATATTTATGCACAAGCAATGCTGGTTATAGGATTCCTAACAACATACGAGTTACATAAAAAATTTAAGCAAATAAATTAACTCAATATTGCAGTTAATCCCACTAATTAATTCTGAGGGATACCTGTGTGTTTTACATAGAAAATGAGTGATTTCACCCAATGTTTTTGGCCACTTCTATGCACTGAGTGTTGTTAGAGGCCAAAACGTACAATTACTCAATACAATGCAATATGTGATCTCACCTGTTGTGATTCTCAATACAGTTTAAGTATGATAAGATTTCCCACAAAGTGAATGAAATCTCACCAATTTCCTAATTTCCTGTAATTTACAAAAACAAAAGTTTAAAAACTGTAAAAAGCAATGTTTTTTTCAATTCTAAAAATGTAAATTTTGGCTGGTTTACAGTTCATATTTGAGAATGTTATTATGGTTATTTCATAGCTATCAGAGTTACTTGATTTACTTGAAGCAAACTAAATAATAACTAATGTAATTTATTCTAATAATTATGAATGATTTTTTTTTTCTACAGCACTTTGAATATCCAGTCCTGCACTCAATTCGAATGTGTATGAACATGACCTTTAAGTTAATTGATTGTCCAGCATCAGTAGGACATTGTAAGGCCAACTCAGTTTTGTACCTGCCTATTGAAACTATAAATAGTGTAAAGCTACAGGCATGAATCTACTGAAGTTATTAAGCATTTAAAAACCTTTTCAGGAATCTTTATATTACACTATTTGGCATTGGCCATATTGTCAATGTCTCTAAAATTTAAAGTAGAAGTTTCTTTTTAAGATTTGAATGCTTTATTTTGTATTTTATATTTTTTACCAGTAGGTAATTACTTTTATTTCATTTTGACTTTCCAATGTTTGTAAATGTATTATTTGTATCCAAACTAAACCTTACAAACTTAAAAACTAGTGTATTTAATTTCAATTAGCATTATCAAAGCACATATTATGTCCTATCTAACAAAGTTCATATCATTCATAAAGCTCAAAAGTTGTTTGATATCTTAGTTTATTTTTGCAATAGCTCCTTTTGTACAATTCACTATATCTATAGTTATTGTGACACAAAACCTGAGTTGGTATGTCTGTGCAGTGGTGACATGCCAGTATACTCAATAAAATAATTGAAACTAAGAATAATGCAATATATGTCATTAAGATAAAAAAAACAAATCATAAATAAAATATTTGACTGATTTTTTTTGACTGGTCAAATGTCCAATCCTGATC